TTGATGCGGCCCAGCCTCACCCAGACTCTACTTCCAGTGGCCCCCAGGTCAGTTGAGTTTGAGACCCCTGGCTTAAACCCTTTGCTGGTATCAGTGGCTGCTCTCCTGTCATTGCAAATAACAGGTCTCAGTGTGTGTGCATACACATGCACCCATCTGTAGAGCTTATTCTAATTAGAAATGTGGTAGGAGCAAAGGGTTAAGGTCTCCTTCTTCCACACCTTAGTCCCAAGTCTGGGTCACACCCCAGGTAATGCCATTATCCTTTTAAAAGCAAACAAGGTTAACTATGGGGCAAATATTTAACTTTAGCACTCAGTTTTATCTCACTTCTCATTTCTAAGGTGGCTCTTCAGATAAACAAATCCATCAGAGTTGCATTTGATTCCATTCAAAATAAACTAAGCAATTGATACAGATCCTCTGCTGTTGCATTGTGTTATAGGAGTGACACCTTATCAAGCTGCATACCGCTTCTCTCCTCCTGCGTTCTTGTTCCATTTTTCTTGCCAAGTTACGGTCTGCAACAAGATTTTGTGGTGAGCAAAGTTGCTCTTTTGTAGATGCTTCTACTTTTGCAGGTGAACCGCTTGCTTTTCCTGCAGTGGCTTTCAAATCTGTTTCTCCAATGTGTCTAAAAGGAAAAAAAAGCAGTGATTTTCATTTCTGTATAAATTCAAATATGCAGACCTCACAAGTGGAAAAAATAAATGTACAGAACAATAACTTACAACCAGCAATGACTTAGTAGAGTGACTCCCAAACGAAGTGTTACAATGGGGGCAGGTATGCCTTTTAAAAAGTTGCCATACTGGGTGCATCCATATGCAATGCCCATTACTGGGGTGGCGTGGGGTGGGGTGGGGAGGGAATGATCCTCCTGTGACAGACCAGAAGAGCAAAGCCACAGGTCCTTCTGCAATGCTGCCACTCTGATCATTCTCTTGGTCCCACAGTCAGCTTGGTTCCTGGCCATATAAATTTGAGGGAGAAAGAGCTGCGATGCTTCCACATATAAGATCCTAGCCAGCTCTTTCCAGTCCTCTGGCAGAAGGCCACAGAGGGAACCTATCATATCCTAAAGAAAAAGCTGGTATTGGGCCATGGTAGCCTGATAGATTGCTATCCTGCCTTCCATTAAGTCCAGGTTCCCAACTTGACCTCCCTGGAACAGATTCAGCAATTATGAAATTTGGTTATGGATGTTGGAAAAGGAAGGTGTGTCTCTGTTCTGCACCTGTACATATTCTCGAGTCTTTCAGGTGTCCTGACAGTGAGGGCAGAAACACAGGACATGGTCTTTTCCAAGAAAGGATAGGCATATGGATTGCCCATCAGGTGGTGGGAGTTTGCTCCCACACTGGATGCACTTTCTATATGGTGTCTTGAGTGCCCACAGGCAAGAAAGAAAGAAAGATTTAGAATGGAGATATTTAAAGGAAAAGGAAGGATCATAGAACCATAGAATAGCAGAGCTGGTAGGGGTCAGAAGGCCATAGGGTCCTCACATATATAAGGCGGCAAGGTATGGGGAAAAATCACAAGGAAAGATGAAGTGATAGGAGTTGCTAGAATGATAAAAGGAAAAGGTGTGAATTGCATGAAGAGATGGAACTTTCCAAGGTACCACAATGGGAGTCAAAGAACTGAGAGAATAGGCAGGAACACCTCCTAGTAAATTGATGCTGAGGGTAGGGAAAGGGTTCTTGCCAAAACTCAGCTGTAGAATCTTCCAACAGGCTCCATGTAGATGCAGAGCTTATGTGCGTGATGCACAGACAACGCAAAGGAGGAGGACAGTGATCCTAAAGGAGGGAATAAGGATGTGCTGCAGTTCTGGGACAACTGACGGAAATGCAAAAGTCACAGAACTGTTTCCACTGTCTGGAAGGTTTGGTCCCATCTCTACACAGCTAAACACAGAAGAGCTCTGAAAGGCACATGGAATACCTCCCTAACTGGGCGGAGGAAGCAGGATAACCTTTGAAATATAAATTTGAACAAGCAAAACTAAATATTAACTGAACTATTTTGCAATTGCAAGGAGAATGCCTGGTCTTTGTTCTGGAAGCCTAATTAAGAAAGAATTCCTCAATTCCTCAAGCAATAAATAGTCCAGGGAATAGTGATTCATTACATTTCTACAATCCCAACAACCAGAGCTTGCTGGCCAGTTCACAAAAATTTAAATCCTAATATACATAGTAAGAAATAAAATATTTAAAGTTTTAAACACAATAAAACCAACCCCCGCCCCATATAAACCACCAGTAGGTAAAACAATCTAAAAGATGCAGTAACAAGCCAAAGGACTAAAAAGCTGGGGAAAATAAAAAAGTGTTAATCCAGTACTAGAGAAGCCACATTGCATGTGCCACGCAAGCCTCTTTGGGGAAGGCCTTCCCCAACTGAGGTCCCACCCATAGAAGGTCTCTGCTTGGTAGTCACCTACTTCACCTCACTTGGCAGAGGCACCTGGAGGTGCCTTTGTGGGAGAAGCACGAGGCATCCTGATTTGGTTTGGAGCATAGCTCCAGAACAGGGCCCACATGGCTGCTTTTCCTTCAAAATAAAAGTTGCGGTTTTAAGCACACTTTTTGGACAGTGTGTGATAAACCTGATGTGCAGCTTGGCCCTTTGGCTCTTCACCTAATACTTCTGGGTATAATATTGCCACAACTGTGGGAGTACTAAGATCACAAAGGATGATTAATTAAAGTCTTTTGCTTATATCCTTGATCTCCCAGACAAAAATAGGCCTGTCTGTGCTTGTCAGGAAAGGCCAATGCTTTATGTGTGTCTCCTCTTGTAGAGACAACTATGTTCTGAATTTTAAAATTGGACCAAAGCAAGCAAGCAAGCAAACAAAACCGAAAAAAATTTGAGAAGGCACCGATTCATTCTGTAGTTTTCCAGTTGTGATTGCACATGGCTACATCATGGAGAGTTTAGAAAGCATAATTTTAGGTCTTACTATACACTTATTAGCAAAGAGGTAGCAAAATCTGAAGCTTGAATGCCTGTTTGCGCCAAAACACTTTTTGGAGTTAGTCCCACTTAAACATGGACATATATAAAAATAAGAGTATTCTGGAAAAGGATATAGAGTTGTTGCCATTTTGCCAGTAGGAGGATTTGCTACTGGTTTGAGTAATTTCCTGTCACGTCAGAATCAGTTCCACACAACCACAAAACAAGTCTGTTGGAAACCACTCCATAGCCTGATGTCAGTTAAACAGAGAGAGGAAAACCAGCCTTTCAGTTTAATTATATGGAATTACAAACCTCTCTTTTTCCTGAGGGAGGTTTCTCAGTTTCCTCTCAGATTGCTCCAATTGCCTTTTTCGTTCCTTTGCCCACTCACTCTCTTCTTTTTCTAGGGCTGCTTTCTGGAACTGCCTGAAACTTTCACTGGAGGATTTGATAGAGGTTGGAGCAGGTATCATCTTACCTAAACTTGTCCAGGAAGCTGCATGTTTGACTTTTATGTCCTGGAATTAAAAACAAGGGCACTTCTCAGCTATAATCACTAGCAGGTTACAGTTTTTCTACCTCTGTCAGGACTCAAAAAAACAAAACAGTAGGAGTAGTGATTTTTAATTCTAATTCCTGTGTTTTTATAAGCTCACCACAGCTCACCATAATTTTGGACTGACATGCAAATACATGCAACAAAATCCACAGTCTGTTTCTTCTAGGCCAAGTAGCTTTGGGAGAGGGTGAGATATTTCCTAGGAAAAGCCCAATATCTCGAGAGCAGCCTTTCCCAACCTGGTGCCCTCCAGATATTCTGGATGACAACATCCAGCACTGGCTATGCTGTCTGGGGCTCATGGGATGCGAGGGACGAAAAACATCTAAAGAGCATTAGCTTGAGGAAGGCTGGAACTCTTGATTGCCTAGAAGGCAGCAGATATGCCCAGTGCGGTAGGAGCAATGTGGTAGGATGACAGATGTCTTGCAAGCAGCTATTTCTAACTTGTGCACATGCATGTTGATGATGATGTCATAACATGTCAGTCCCATGCCTGAAATGGAGCCTGAACTGACTTGGAACTGCGTGATTTCAGAAAAGAGGTATCCAAAGAGGTACAGGATGAGCTTGTACGGTCTACTCTTTTCAAGATTCTTTTGAAAAAGACCCCTCAAGTTACACCATTAAACTGTATGAAAAAGGGCTGTGAGTAGTCTACTAAAATGTATTTATAATATTTGACATATAGTCAGAGTCCATGTAAGCTTAAAGCTTTAGAATCCATAAAATCATTGTTTACCATAAATTGACCTTCACCATCACAGACTACTTTCAGATATTTGCTAGAGACACCTCTACAGATGATCTCATTATCCCTTTAGTAGGAAATATTCTTTGAACTTTTTGAACAAAATCTAGACAGCCTGATACATCTCAATATACCCCAAGGTACTGCTCCATCTTTTTGAGACCTGATTTGTGATATTTCTTGTTTAAAATGAAAATTGCAGCATTAGCCTGGCCAGTGTTGATTGGTAAAGAACTAACAAGCCTTTTCAGAACTTCTGTGCCTTTAATCAGAAGCTTCAGCTTTGTGCCTTTAGGCTCTAATCGGTTCCGGTTCAGCAGGGACATTACATTATTGAAGCGGGCCACTAGTCACCAATTCATTTTTATTTTATACAAAAAAACAAACAACGCTATTTGGAAATGAAAAATATCTGAGAAAATGTAGTAAGGGAAGCACCTTTCTCTGTAGAGAATGGGAACAAGTTAGAGGGCAATTCATCACTAATGCATCCCTGAGGAGAAAGTAATCCGATTCAAAAAATGCTAATTAAAGTTAAAGAGACCTTTACTAAATGAGACTTACTTCAAATCAAACATTATAGAAGCATGTTGACATTGCTGTATATTATGGCACCAAACTAAGTACCACCATTAATTCCTTTCCCAGCTGATTCTGAGAACGTTTCAGCAGCTTCTCTGCCCAGCTTATGAGCCATCCTGGTGGTCCTCAGCATCAGCAAAGTGTTGGGCAGTGAACCAGGAGGAAGTGGGTGAGAAGGGAAGCACAGCACAGCACAAGTTGACCTCCTGATCTGTTGCGAGGTGTTGCAGCTGAGCAGTGGGGAAGCCATCCATGGCCCTTGCCTATTTATTTATTACATTTATATGCTGCCCATAGCCAGCTACAGTCTCTGAGCAGCTTGCAGTAAAGTAATAGCAAACAATACACAATTAGAAAGATAAAATTCATTTAAATCAGTCCATTAAACAATAAAAACAATAAAACAGTAAAGATAATAACCCAACAATTAAAATTTTAAAACAATCACATTTAAAAAATTAAATCATTCAAGTAGGAACATATCTGGAAAATCAGCCTAAGCTGATTAAAAGTGCTCTTGGCTACTATTTATTATTTATTTATTTGGGATATTTTTAGGCTGTCCAATCACACTGAGTCTCTGGACCACTCACAAAAAAATCAATAAATACAACAGTAAAAATATAAGTATCAACATCTTACTGTAAATAGCCCAACAATAATAAAACTAAATAACCCACAACTAAAATAAAAATAATCGGCTACCAAGTCCACCTGAGGGATAAGCGATAACTCAGGATACAGGAGCACTCCTAAACTACCCACCTTGCTCTTTAGGGAGGGCATAATCCAGTCCAGGACAGGGTGAGAATTTTCCAGTTGGGCAAGCAGTCTGCCTACTAACAGCACCTCCATCTTGGCAGGATTGAGCTTCAGCTTGTTGGCCTCATCCAGCCCATTACTGAGTGCAAGCACTGGCCTGCTGCTCAGCAGGGTTAATAAGACCCAAGTACAAGTCCTGGGTAAACAGGGCGATTTATAAGCCACCCAATGGCAACAGTGCTTAGTGTGGATGATGTGTTAACCCGCCATGGTGTATAAGACATGATGGATTATTGTGTTGTGTGAACCCACTCAATGGGTTGTATGACAGGGCTAGTTATGCCCACAGGTCATTGGGCCCAGCTACATCCCCAATTGAGTAACAATTCTATCTGTGGGTGCTGCATTCACCTGAAGTGCCAATGCAATCCATGTTGATGGAGACAGCTCATCTGGTCCCCGGACATCTAATGGCCCTCCAACTTTTCGGTACTGGCATTTTACAGAAGACCACACCAGAAGGCAGCACAGTATTACCTTTGCTACAGGAATATGAGGTTTAGAATCTCTCTTTTTTTTATCCCCGCAGTTATTGGAACAGCTTGCAGGAACAGTGGCATGTGCAGAATCAGTCATTCGTTGCCCACACAAACCATCTGGAAAACTAGTCTTCAGTTCTGGAATGTAAACAGAAGCAGTGACAAGGTAGCGAGTTGGCAGGGGGTGGAGACCACCTCTGCTTAATCTTTGTTATTAGAGGAGAAGATCCTAACAAGAGCTTTTAACTTAGGCACTCTTATCCGTTTGAATCACAGAATCACAGAACAGATTTCTATTCTTCAGTCTTAGAAAGGCTTTTATTTGTCCTTTGTTTACTTTGCACAATTTCCAAGTAAGCAGAAGGGCAAGAACTCCCTGTGTGGCTTCAGCTTTCTATTTTCAGATGCCTGTTTGAGTGTAGGAGATGCACATTTTCCGTTACTCATTTCCTGCCCCTCCCTATCTTAAGAGGGACAATTATGCCTCCTGCGATGCTCTTTCCCAGGCTCCCCAAGGAAGAAGAGCCTGTTACTTAGTAACCTTGCATGCTGCTTCCATCTCCTCCAAATAGGTCAGTCCATAAACCTATGGATAGTTTAAAAGTCATAGGTTCCTCACACTGGGTCACAGGTCCTCAGGAATTAGTTCTGTGGAGTGAGCAATTATATCCTTTTAAAAATTGTTACTCTGCCAAAATAATTTCTGGAATATCTTGTAAACTGCACCCCCAGTGATTACTTCCTATACACATACACCAAACTCTTATTTGCTGCCAATGTGAAATCCTCAAAAAAAGAAGTTGTCTTTTCCTTTGTCATAAGCATTATAAGAAAATTATACTTTTCCCTAAGTGGGCTTATTTGCCAAGCAACAATGTTTAGATAATTAAGAACTGTTCTCCAGTTTATGAGCTCATTTATGTACAGAAAGCAAAAGGTGTTTTAGCCTTCTTCTTTTCATAGCCATGTCAATGTTGGCTGACTGAAAACTTGCCACATAATGACCTCCTCATGGCAAGCCATGGCTGCACATCTGTAGGTTTAAGTCTTGGGGCACTTCCAGAAGCACCAGAAAAACAATTGGTCCTCACACAGGATGCAAATAAAATTATCACCACAACATCTTCTTCTACCTCAACATTTCTGAAGAGAACAAGAGGAAGAAAGTGATATGAACACATCAGGGGGAAAAGCAGATGTAAACATGAAACTAGGGATTAAATTAAAATTCTCAAGAACAGGATATTTAATCCCATTGTCTTGAAGGATTTTTTAAACAAAACTTTAAACCTAACGGTTTGACCAAATAAAATCTACTCTATCACTTTTATGACATATTTTCATCCAGCTGGTGCCTTTGCATTACACATATTCCAGTAAAATCAATAATAAACCTCCCATTATTTAAGCAGATCTGTCCTACCCGTTAAGTAACACCTGAATGAAACACGAAAGAAATCTCCCCTCTCCATAGTACAGTTGATCATCCTACAAACTGTGGAGAACCAGCACCGGAACTTTTTTGCCCTGCTTTATTTGTATTGGAATATTTTAAAAAGTACCCGCCTGAGTTGCATTCGTATTTATATTATCTATGTACTTTCATGAAAGAATACATACGTTCTTCTTGTTTAATAGTGTTGCTGCTGACCGTCCGCAAAGAGGTTTTAGTGCAGAGAGCAGGTGGTTGAGCCGGCTGTAGCAGTAACTGTCTCATTTCTTTGGTAGCATGCAAGTGGATATTTGGGGAGGAAGAGGAACAAGATACCTATAGGAAAATTTAAAGTCTTAAAGAAGGAATTGTCTATTTGCCACAGCTGTAGTGCTCCCCATCCCCCGTTGATTTTGTCATTTTAAAAACAGAGAGGACAACATGTTACTCAAACTTCACATGTACAGGAAGAAGTGGGACCTTTGCGGAAAAAAAATGCTGTTGTGGCTACAAGACTCTTCATAAACAATGTGTTCCAAATTTTTCTGCAAAACCAAGTTTTTAAATGTTAAATGGCTTCTAGTTGCTTCTCCCAAAAAACTGTCTGGGGAGAGCAGATGACATTCTCTAAACAGGAAAATCAGCCAAGAACTGTAAGGTGTCAGAGGCTTTTCTCCATTTTTCCAGTAATGTGATATTTTAACACCAGATGAAGTGGGACCCAAGGGGCTGGATCCAAAGGTTCTCCCTTCCTACAGAAGAAGTAGTTGCTTTCATTAAAGACAGAATACCTTTTGAACCAATCCAAAGTCAGCCACCTAAAGGGAAGGGCAGAAGGGGCTTCACATTAGTGGGCTCACATTAGTGAAAATTACTGGATACACAAGACACTATTAAAAATGTAATGAAAAAAATGTGGATGCAACCATGACCTGATTTCCCAATTTTATTATTGATACTCACCTCTGAACGCATAGGAGGGGATTGAATATTGGAAGACTTTGCTACCAGTAAGCTGCTTGAAGGTCCTTGTTGAGCTGGAGTGCAGTGCAATGGGGACACGACAGCTACTATTCCTGGAAGGAAGGTCGGGGAGAAACATAGGAGACTGTCATTGTCTCTAAATTATTTGTTAGTATTGCATGTGGGGACTCTATGAATGAATTCCCTCTAAAATATCCTGTCCTTGGCAGCCTTGGATAGTGAGCACAGCTCTTCAAAACTCAAGCTTGTGGTTTCCTTCATGGAGTACTTCAAATTTCCCTAGCATGACTGTCTTCTCCAGGGAGTCTTCCCTTCTCATGATGTACCCACCCAAATACAGCTTCAAGTTTGGTCATGCTTGCTTCCAGGAAAGGTTCTGGATTTATTTGATCTAGGAACCACTTCTTCATCCTTCTTTCAGTCCAGGGTAATTGCAAAGCTTTCCTCCAGCACCAGATTCTCAATGTGTCAATTTTCTCCTTGACAGCTTTCTTCACTATCCAGCTTTTGCACCCATACATAGTGAAATTATTTATTAGTAATATATGCCACATCACAGAAAAACATCACTGTGTATCATCTAGATGTAGCGAGTGGAGCTGGTCACCTCTCTTAGCCAGTATCACAGGGTTAGCAGGACTGGGATTATGAAGGGGAATGGGCCAGAGATGGAAGTTTTGGGAGACCAATGCCCTCAAGGCCCCTGCCCCCAGGTTCCCAGGCTGACCAGGAGAGTGGGAATAATTTGGAAGGTATGGGAGAGATTGAAGGAGAAGAGGAGGAGAAGCCCTTGTCTTGGCCAGTCCCTGCCCCAATGATGAGGTGGCAGCCAGGACTGCTGAACTGCCCAGTTCGAGGGCTTGCACCACTCTTGCTGTCTGGCCTTTCAACCACAGGAGTCACCATGAAGGTGAAGCCCCAGAGTCACTGAAAGGAAAGGGCTTGGGGAGAACCCCCTAGTTTGGATTCAGCAATCATTCGTATTATGTGCAGAGGTTTCTCTTCCCACTTACTAGGGAGTTTTGTCTGGCAGCTGTGAGGTACCAACAATCAATCTGTTTTGTAAAGAGACTGTCTTATGTTTGGAGCTTTCTGGCAAGAAGGAGAGGACTGCACTCATGATATTAACTGATTTTCAGGGGTTCCCAACCATTTTGCGTCAATGGGTACATTTAGAATGTTGTGAGAACATTCTGGGCATTCTGACAACATGACCGCCATGCTGTGGCCAGGCACAAAACTCCCATTTCCAGAAGGCAAAGTTACTAAAAGGAAGGTAAGTTGCTGAAAAGCCCACATGCAAGGCAGAAGTGGGGTCTGAGCTCCAAGACATCAAACTGCTCTTTTGAACCCACAGTCTTCTGTTCCATCAAACTGAAAGGTCCTAACCTGGGGGCACTGCTTGCTAACTCATTACCGTGAGTGGGTCTGGAACTATGGCTTTGTCTAAATAAGACTGCTGATAGAAAACAGGGATCTGACACAAAAGAATCTTAAATTTTTCTTAACAGCTGTGAACGTTTCCTTCACCTTTTAGGACAAGGCTTGAGGTACATGGGTGTAGAAACAGCAGCAGTTTGCATTTTGGAAAGATACACGACAGACAGACAGACACACAGCTATGAGTTGGCTCTGTGTTAGATGTAAATCTCTCTCCCAAGGTAGGTGATTTATGATAAGAAGAATCTTCTTTTGTATCATTTTATTTGGACAGAATATTGACAAATATTTACAGTTCAAGTATGTACACTAGTTATATTGGTATGACTGGAATACTTACTTAGATCTTGATCAACAGGTTTTTGACCTGGCAGGTTACAAAGGTTTATTTTGAAGTACATGCATCCTTAATTATACCGACAGAACAGAGGAGGTATGATCATCTGGAGTACTTTGAAGGGCCAGCTTGGAATGCCAGGCAGGCCAGATTTTGCCCAGGCACTGACTCTGTCCTGTAGAATCACCATCCAGTCTTTTTAACAAGCATCATACAATTTTAAATTAATCATTTTAGGCAACATTTCTCTTTTGGAAACAGTATCGGAGCACTTTTCTACATGAGGCATCTTCACTCATTATTTCCAACTCATGGTTGTTTACGGGTTCTTTAGATGACATTGTGACCTTCCATTTTTGCAGTTTTGCCTCAGTATCTAAACAACACTTTCAGCAAGGGCTTTTTTAAGAGCAGGAAAAGTACGGCATTCAATTATAAAACCTAACAGTTTTTTCCTGCTTGTGTAATTGTTCTAGTCTGCTATAATATGGTGCCATCTAGAGTTTAAGCAGTGGAAAAGCAGGAATGCAAGGCTTTTTGTATAGCATTTGGATCTCAAATTTTGAGAGGAAACCAAAAGTAGGTACAAAGGATTAACAGCCTCATATAGAAAAGCTCTGATAGGCTGTAAATTCTGATAAGATCACTATCACCAGCACAAACTCCCAGTCAGCTGAGCTGGTGTGACAAACAGCCTGACTTATCCAACATAAAATATTCAGAACTCTGAATGAGCTTCTCAAACATGATCCATTTGTAGATAAGCTAATATTGCAAAGGCAAGTGCTTTTCATTCCAAAAGGAGAGAAAGAATAGCAATTGAGCATTGGATTGCATGCATATTGTTCAAGGATATGGGGATTTCTTAAAGCAACCTACAACATTTACTTTCCACCCTTAGTAACTATTTGTGCTAAAGCAGTTCCACAAAAGCGACAACTGGTTTAGCATTCTCCTGAGCTATTCTACTGTCTGAAGATTTACCTGAAGGAGATGGGCTGCTCTGCTCTTGGAGTTTAAGTGGAGTATGCTGTAAAAGTTGGGTTTGTTGCAGCAACTGCTGGTGCAGCCTCATTTTTGCTAATCTTTGAGACTGTGCACTAGCAGAAGTATTCTGTCGTTGAGGAACAATATTGCAGGTCATCCTTGGATATAGCACCGGCATCTAATGAGGAAGAATTCAACAAGACTAGTAATGGGGGTCAGGTGAGTTGCAGTCATTGACTCTTGTGTTCTGGAATGTGAGGGTTTCACTTTGAAAAACAGATTCTGTGACAACCGTGGGATTGCTGGGCAGGAGTGAGCAATCATTCAGATAATGTGCAGAAGAACATCAGAAGAATCAGTCATATCGTTAAGAGATAAACTGATATACATTCAGGGCCTATATGTAATTAACTCATGTACAAATGCCAATATATTAGGAAGAAACACCAGGAGCGGAGGAGGAATGAAGCAAAACAAAAGCAGCCGGGTTTTTGAAGATTTTACAAGGAAAAAAATACCTTAAGCTGCTCCCTGCAAAACAAATATCTTTTGCCATTTCCATTTTGTTTGAAGCAAGTTTCTGTAGAAAGATGGAGAAATGCGGAAGTTATGGTATGGGAGTATATGCTGAGCTGGAGCATTTTTTTTCTTATGCATGATGTTGCAACTACAACATCCAAGCTGCCTTCACCCATATCTCCACCCTGCCCCACACTACTGCTTCCCAGCTGCTTCTTGTAACATCTTGTCTATGTGATCTTAACGGCATGCACATTCCTGGGGATACTTGGGTCGCCCTAATTTTTGTTTATTAGACTTATTACATGCCTCATCAAATAAAGTTCTTTAGTCATTTCAAAATACAAACGCAATCACAAAAAATATCAGACTGAAATGGATTATGAAACCTTTTATGGACACTTTTATACTATTCTTATGCACTTCCCACATCTGTATCTCCAAAAGGCCAGAGCAGTACACTAGCCAGGGCTCAGGTGTATAGAGAAGCTGAGTATGGTGAAGAAGGGGGATGCTCCCCATCACCAGCACACAGGGACAACATCAACATCCTTGAACAGTGGCCTGGGGCCCCAGCATCTGGGCATGGCCTATTTGTCAACACCCCTCTGCTCCCTTTAATTCCCTCACCAGACCAGGCCTGCAAACAGTGGTGCCAACTGCATCAAGCCAGCATTTATATTTGCCCTGATACCCTGGAGCAGCACTATGTTGGCGGGCATGAGGAAAAATTAAGAAGGTGCATAGACTCGGCTGGCTGGCATACTGCTGCGGCCACCAACACCAGCTAAATCCACCAGGACCCACCCATAAACACAGAGGGCACTTTGGTCAGGGCTCCCTCAAATACTGAGTTGACCTGCTCCCTGTCTATACCAGCTTTCCCCCATCCAGTATGTTGACCACTGCTTTCAACATTCTGGCAGGTGGATGCTAGGATTTGCAGTCCAACACACCTGGAGGACACCAAGTCAGGCCCAGCTAAACTGCACACCTGGCATGATGGTCCTATACATGACGACCCTCATATGAGACACTTCACTGCACAAGCGTGGTGGAGGGCAGCGCATGCCTTTGTTCCTGGCAAGATCATCACTCAGGCCAGCCTCTCTGTGCGATGTTTGACCAGGCCTGAAAACTTCCTTGGGCTACACTACTCAATGGAATAAAGATGCAACTTGGTAGTAGCAGACTCCTGCTTCCTGGAAGCGAACAGGAGCTATTTTCAACTAAGTCCTAGAGGTTGGATGGACACTAACCTGAGCTTCGTAAACAAAAAAATTACATAGTTTTGAGTTTCTCACTTCTGTAATTTGTATAAAATCTAAATTGGGTAGAATGTATGCGTGACCCAGCTGTGTTGCCTCATTAAAGTTAGGCTATGTAACCCTATTGTGTCAAAACGCTACCAGTTCTCTAAAAAAACTCATGGTGAGAGCATTGCCAGTCTCCATGCCCTAGAAAATCGAACAAAAAAGGCCAAGTTCTAATCATCAGCATTCCATAGGTGATAGCAAAGGATGTGATCTGCCACAGTCCTTTCACATTTCTTAAATAGTATCTTCTGCTTCTTAAACCTCATTAACAGTATGGGAAAGGCAGAATTTAGGCTTTTGGGATCAACTTTTGTTTTTTTTTTACAAGAATTCTGAGCTGGTATTAACTTTTAAAGCTCCAAACAGCTTGAGGCCATGATATCTGCAGGATTATCTCCTCCCATGTATATTTGCCTACATGCTAAAATCATCTTCAGATGCCCTTCTCCAAATGAGGCAAGGCAGGTTGCTACTAAGCAGATGTTCTTTTTGGTGGTGGCAACTTGGCTATAAAATATCCTCCCTAGAGAGGCTCAGCTTTACGGTCTCTTCAGCAGCAGCAGCAGAAGACTTTCTTATTTTATTTATTTAGAAGACTTATATGCCACCCCATTCACCTAAGCCTCGGGGTGGCTTACAAATAAATAAATATCACTAATACAATAAAATACAGTTGGAGAAATCCAGGCCAAAGTTGTTAAAATCAATAAATAAAGTCAACAATTAAAATGATGTTTAAATAAAAAGGTCTTAGCCTGGTGCCAAAAAGCAAATAACGACGGCACCAGGCAGACCTCTCTGGGGAGCGCATTCCATAGGTGGGGTGCCACCACAGAGAAGGCCCTCCTCCAGGTGCTCACCCTCCTAATGTCCTTCACGGAGGGCTCCCGGAGAAGGGCCTCTGCCACCGATCTCAAGGGGCGGGAGGGCACGTATGGACGTAAGCGCTCCTTTAGGTAACCAGGACCCAAGCCGTTAAGGGCTTTATAGGTGATAACCAACAACTTGAATTGGGCCCGGGCTTCAATGGGGAGCCAGTGAAGCTGACGGAGGACTGGAGTTATGTGAGCACAATGCCCAGTCCCTGTCAGCAACCTGGCAGCTCTGTTTTGCACCAACTGAAGTATCCGGACCATCTTCAAGGGCAGCCCCATGTAGAGCACGTTACAGAAGTCTAGTCGGGAAGTTACCAATGTGTGTGTCACAGTCACCAGGCAGTCATTCTCCAGGTAGGGACGCAGCTGATGAATCAGCCGAAGCTGAAAGTGCTCCTCGCCACCTGTTACTTGAGCTTCCAGCGAAAGTTCTGGATCGAGGAGAACTCCCAAGCTGCGGACCTTGTCCTTAAGAGGGAGTGCAACCCCACTCAGGACAAGATCAAGGTCCCCTTCCCCGAAGCCTGAGCTGCCTACCAACAAGACCTCTGTCTTGTCTGGATTGAGCCTCAGTTTATTGGCCCTCACCCAGCCCATTTCCTCGGCCAGGCACCGGTTCAGTACAGCCACCGCCTCACCTGGATTAGTGGAAAACGAGAGGTTGAGCTGGGTATCATCAGCGTACTGATGATTCCGCATCCTACACCTCCTGATGGCCTCTCCCAGCGATTTCATGTAGATGTTAAATAGCAAGGGGGACAAAATGGAACCCTGCGGAACTCCATGGCATAACTGCCATGGCGCAGAGCCATAGTTCCCCAGTACCACCTTCTGGAATCGGCCATTGAGATAGGAGCGGAACCACTGCAAAGCAGTGCCCCCACCCCCCAGTCCCGCTAGCCTATCTAGAAGGATACCATGGTCGATGGTATCGAAAGCCGCTGAGAGGTCCAGAAGAACCAACAGGGACGCACTCCCCCTGTCCTTCTCCCTGCACAGGTCATCATACAGGGCGACCAAGGCAGATTCAGTACCATACCTGGGTCTGAAGCCAGACTGAAATGGGTCCAGATAATCAGTTTCATCCAAGAGTGCTTGGAGTTGTCCCACCACTACCCACTCCAACACCTTGCCCAAGAATGGGATGTTTGCCGCCAGTCTATAATTGGTGGCCATCTCCGGATCCAGGGATGCCTTCTTTAGGACTGGCTGGACTACCGCCTCCTTTAAAGGGGCAGGTACCCGGCCATCCCTCAGAGAGGCGTTGACAACCTCCAGGATCCAGGTCCCTATCCCGTACTTGGTGTTGTTAAGTAGCCAAGATGGGCAAGGGTCCAATAGGCAGGTGGTGGGACATACTTGTCCAAGCACTTTGTCCATATCATCAGGCTGCAATAACTGAAACTCATCTAATAAATTAGGACCAGACGGCAACATTAGTTCCTCCCCTGAAGGCTCTGAATTACTAGTGGAGTCCAGCTCGTGACAAATCTGAGCGATTTTCTCCTTAAAATGCTTGGCAAAGTCGTCACAGTAGGCCGTTGAGGGCGGTACAGGGTCTTTCTTGGGGCCAGGATGAACCAGCCCCTGTACCACCCGAAAAAGCTCCACCAGACAGCATTGTGAGGAGGCAATGGAAGCGGAGAATTTCTTTTTCGCCACCCTCACCACCACAGCATAGGCCCGATAATGGGCTCTTAAGTGTGTTCGCTCAGATTCATCCTGTGATTTCCTCCATCTACGCTCTAGACGTCTCCCAACCCGCTTCATCGCCCGTAATTCAGGTGTATACCAAGCGGAAGAGTGGGCTCTGCCCAGTGGGAGAGGACGCTTAGGAGCGATCATGTCAATAGCCCTGGTCATTTCCCCATTCCATAGTTTGACCAGAGCATCGACAGGAGCACCAGTCTTGTCAGCCGGAAATTCCCCCAGGGCCTTCAGGAATCCATCCGGATCCATCTGGCTCTGGGGGCGGACCAACACAATCGGGTCCGCACCCTTACAGAGGTGCATCTCCTCTCCCAGGCATCTTAACTCTTTAGTTGTAGATGTTTTAAAATCCGTTTTATGTATCTTTACATTATAGTGCTGCATGCATTTACTCTGTTTTAATACTGTAGTTTTAATTTTTCCAAATATATATAATGTTTTAGAGTACCAGATTTATGTTTTAATTGTTGTAAATCACCCAGAGAGCTTTTGCTACTGGGAAGTATAGAACTGTAATACACAAATAAATAATTTAGAATTACTGTAGATCGGGGATTTTAAACTAACCATTACTACTGTTACACAATTGTGAGTCAGAGACCCTTGCCAAAGCTAAGTGCTACCAGCAGATCACAATTTACCTTCTACCCATGTCTGGTTTAAATGTAGTCATAAACCATGCAGAAAAAATTCCAAGGCTGCAATCCTAAAAACACATTTACTAGGAAACCAGTCCCATTGAACTCACTTCGGAATAAGCATGCTTAAGATGCTGTAACATGTTGTGCCATGCAAGTATCATTGAACATTCTTTGCCAGCAACTAGCTAGGCTCTTCCAGGTATCCTTGCAGCGTTCCTGGTGGCATTCCTGCTTCCTTCCCTTCCTATCTGAAGCATGCAGCCAAATGGCCAAGTTGTTGTTTTTAGTTGCGAAGTCCAAGTTGCAAGTCATGTCTGACCCATTGCGACCCCATGGACAACATTCCTCCAGGCCTTCCTGTCCTCCACCATCCCCCAGAGTCCACCTAAGCTCACACCAAGCAGGGAGGCGGAGATTACCCGTGCCACTTCCCCTGCTTTACAGAGGTTGCTTGCAAACCCCTGAGTTCAGAGGCTTGCAAACATCAAGGGTGCAACCTACTGGAAGAAGTCCCAGTTCAACTTTCTGAGCAAGCTCCCCCTCTTTTTTTTCAAGTAAGGGACAGTGTTGCGGGCTGGAGGGAGAGAAAATGGAAAATAAAAAGTGAACCTGAATCAGAATCACTGCTTTCAGAGGAGCTGGAGGAGTCATTGCTGGTGCTTGCTGTGTCAGAGGAGGTGTTGCCACCGCTGCTGCAGCTGCTACTGCTGCTGCTGCTGCTACTGCTGCTGCTGCTTTCACTCAGCCGGCTTGGGCCTCCAATGGACTTTGGGACAGCATTATTTGCAGCTGCGAGATAGGGAGGAGCAATGAACAAAATGTGGAGTGGGTGACGAGGAAGCAACAGTCAAGCACTAGTAAAGCTAAAACTAGGTAATTTTAGCCCCTGAACACAATAACGTGTTATTTCCACTGTGAAGCACAGAAGTAACATTTCCTCCCTCAAACATCATTCCATGCTTCACAACTCCTCAAGCATCATCATCTCTGGTATTAGAAAGTGTGCCAACCCTGATTAAATCCTATGGACAAAATCTCTGAGCACATGCACTTACGCATTTTCAGCTCACTTAAATCATAGCACCATCATGATTAGAGGAATAAAAGGAATTTGCTTCTGCTGCCTCGATGCCTACTGTTCTCGGGATCGGGTTGAGGAAAGTGATGTGAGGCCCCAAGGTTCTGTCCTAACTACAGAGACTACAGAACTAAAAAGATCTATTATTAACAGTATTCCTATGCCCATAATGGTTGCCAGACAGGTTCTTCCATTCTTATTGCTCTTTCCAGCAAATTAAATTACTGGATAAGCTTCACACAGGCGACTGGAGCAGCACCTCTGCCCTTCAAGGATTCTAGTCAATTCTTTTCCAAACCTGCCCTCAATACTTCATTGTAGAAGGTTCACCTACATTTTGCACTCTGCTTTTTAGAGCTGACATCCAGCAGCCTCCTTTCTAATTCTTCTTTCTTCTCAAAATTAAGTTGCTTCAATTTTTTCACTGCATACAAAAAGAGGAGCAGGAAATAAACACCAACTCTACCCAAATGAAAAAAAAATAGCTTATTTTTGTCCACATCACATACATACACACCATGTTTTTTCGGCCTTTTTCTCAAACAAGCCATTACGTATCTCTCTAGTTCTCTTAGTGTTGAGGCTTTGAGACTTTCAAAGTCTATTTCTATTTCATCAGGATTTGAGTGTCTCAGTGAAGGTTCCCTTGACTGAATAATATAGACCACTCTGCCAAGTTTCTCTCCAGGGAGTTTATTTATGTCCAAACTTAACTGCCTCTTTTCATCATAGCTCATAGGCTTGGTGTTATCCTCTTCCTCAGACTTGTGTGCTGGTTCCTCTTCTCGCTTGATCTTCTTTGAACAACTTGCAAGGGAGAAAATAAAAAAATGGGTTAACTACAGTGCCAACAGCTTTGAGTACAATTTCATACCCATAAGCTATCTTACATGTTCAAAGCCATTTTCCTCTTCAGCTTCTTCATTTGCTTCATCTTTCTCTTCTTTTGAATCCCAATCCTGTTTCTGACTTTGGTTTTTCTTTTCTCCTTTTTGGATTTTCCTTTCTTCCTCTTTTTTAGCCTGGGTAAGGTTGTTTTAGCCAAAGCTTGCAATTGCTGATGAACCGCCTTAAGCTATTTAAAAAGCAAACAAAACATTTGTCTGCATTTTAAAAAGTCTCTAGGAAAGCTAGTACAAAAAAGGTAGAATTTTACAGAGCTCTACAATATAATTTCAAAGGTGTGAGAGAAAGCTAGAGAAGATACTGATCCTTTATTCTCCTTTCTGCAGTTTTATCAATACAGCTGTGGGAAAAATGTAACTTGATTATCGCACAGGACAGTTTAGTTGCAGTCATACATTGCATGGAAACATAATTTTTAGAGCAATTACCAATGTTCATGCACTCATAAAAAAGCTTTTCCAATTTAGTTCCATCATGAAAGGTGCAGGTGCTTAAATTTATATTATTTTGATCAAAGTAATATAATCTCTGTCTTTATACCTCATTATCCAACCTTTTATTGGTACAGAACAAACTTTTTCATCCTGTTATGCAGCCATGATGAGTAAAACAGCTTTCCCCAACTACTTTCTGACAGTAGCCAATAAGAACAAAGCAAGTGGTCCAATTGACAAGGAAGGGAGATAAGGAAGTCCTGCCCCTTCCTTTTTCTAAACGCTTGTGGTTTGTAGTGGGCACTTCACTCTTTTACTACTTGTTAGGTGCATCAAAGACTTCACTTTTCGTTGGGCAAGCAAGATGAGAGCAGAAAAGAGGGAGAAGTAAGTTTAGAGCCTTTTCATTTGTTGATTGATGATGGTGAAAATTAGTTTCAGTTATTTATTGGTGGGAAAAATATTGTACAACCTTGAAACACAGGTTGTAGAATTGTGATCCCATATATAATCATCTAGGAATTTGCAACATATAGGAACAGTAAATTAAAGGGAGGTAATAATTCAGACCATATAGTGGGAATTAGTTTCCAAACAGGGTGGCCATTTTTTTAATTATGGAGTTGGGGCTAGTCTAAAATATCTTTCAGGAAATCTGTGAGTTATGAAAAGAGAGTACAAGAATGAGTCAGTTGGGGAAAGTTAGCTTGGCATATTTTCTATTGTTATGGGGATTAGAAGAGCAGTTGTCAGAGATGACCATAGACAGGCTGTTCTGAAAGGTGCCTTTCTCTATCCACCATGGTAAAGAATGTGCATGCTGAATCTGGAATAAAAGCAGTAGAAGCAAGCTAAGTGTGTGAAGGCCATGGCAGAAGGTTTCTTTCTGCTTCCACAACTGGTAAGAAATTGGGCTGACTATGATTTCTCTCTCACACAACATGCACTCTAGTCAAAACACAACACTCCACAGCTGTTATGCAATAACATATACATTGCCACCTACTTGATCCTGGAGCTCTGCAAGGCGTCTTGTTCTCTCTTCTTCCGAGTCCTCTGAGGAAGTGTCGCTGCTGCTTTCACTTGAAAGAGGTGCCACCGTCCTTGTGAGAGGCTGCAGCAGAGGCCTACAGATAGCTGGCTCATCAGGAATTTTGGCAAATTGCATCTCAAAGACATCCTTAATAGGAGAAAGTTAGCCAGTTTTAAAACCTCCTCTATGATACTTAGCTTGCTTTAGCAATTCTGGAATTTTAATGCAAGGCACTGTCGCATGAAGGCCCTGACTGCATATTCATTGGGATTTCAGGAATGCCCATTTTTTTCACTGTCAGTAACTTGCTCACCTGGAGTTTCCTTGCCATTGCCACCACCTCGTGGTCTGGAGAGTTGTATCTGTAGCAGTTCATAAACATTAGCCTAATATCAGCAGCAAATTCTTGTGTCTCTTTATACTCACGATTTTCCATTTTCTTCTGTGAAGAACAGAAGGAGGTAAGATACAAATTCTGGTATATTTATCTGATGTATCATTAATCAGCCATTTTCATGCTGTACCTTTCGTATTTTGGGGATTATAGGATTAGCCTTCATAGTCTCAGTCCCATAAACCTTTCTAAAGAAGCAGATTTGGAGTTCTGAGAGACATCCAACACTATATTGTGTTCATTAAGTTTTCTCCATTTAGTTAACTAAAGTAGAGATACATATTTTAGGTCTAAATCCTAGTTAATATTTTTTAGCCAACTAGAATTTCTTTAAAGAAAACTTCCTAAAATGTGTCAGCTGCATTAATTATAAAAAATCTATAATGCTTCTGTCACTAAAGTGTGCACCTCTCTTTTCTTTCACCATTTATTGCCTTTCAAAGCCAAAGTGAAATTATCTTTGAGCTCTCTCCTCAGGCCTTATCTCCTTCTCAGACTTCCAGGTACACTGTTTGCAGGTGTTATTGCTTAGATGTAAAGCAAAAGTTAGTCACAATTCTGGACCAGTGGCCAAACTGTGAAGAAATCAATGCAAGTCCCCATGGAGTAGGAGAATCAGCACAATTCCTTGTCAATGTGCCAGATCAGCAAATAATATCTACAATAGGAAATACCCTCTGATGTGTTTCCTGGTTTGGCATTAGAGTTTGGAACAGCATCAAGGCATCTTGAGATCTATATTGGAATAGATGGAATGTAAATGCTATAAATAAATAAACTAAGAAGTTCCCTTGACTGATTGCTTTAATATCCCTTTACACCTCTGTTCTATTTTCTTCACTTCTGCTCAAGTTCATCTTTTATCAGACTGACCTATCATTGCATCTCTCATATTCTGATCTTCAGTCCGCAAAACATTTACAGGGCAGTCTTACATATGTTTCCAATGGGCCTTACTGTCAGGTAGGTGTGTACAGCATTGCAGCCTTAAAAATGATTTCAAGCCTCTCTTCCACAGTTGGTGTGAAGTTTAAAAGCAATGCCATAGATGTTAAACTATGATTGCCAAGCAGAAAGATGGATTTACCATCTTACGTCCCCCATCTACTAATTGTTACCTGTGAACCAATGAATTTCATCTAAAAATCATCTTTAATCTTCCTTTCACCCCCAAAAGAGTTCTATAAACTTGGAACAGCTTTTACCACATTTTAACTTTCTGCACAAAGAAGCCATTTGGCCTTTACTAAGAGCATCTTGGTTCTCCTCGCAGATCCTTTTCCAAAACCAACACAACCACTTCCTTTGTAGCTTTGATCTTCTCCCCACCCTCCTATGAAACAGAGAAGTTCTAGGGAATGCTCCTCCTTTTATCAGCATGGCCTGGTTCCTATCCTGCACTCCACTTCCACACTGAATGCCTGGACACAAGTGCTGGTGATACAAACAGCAATACTAAGTCCTGATGTAAAAAATTGGCAGGATTTTCCATCAATTTCATCAATTCCATCAGATGAAAAGGGGAGGAAGATGATCATGAAGGAAATGGCTGTGCTGGGAAGGGGTGAAGGGTCATGCGGAAAGGAGGTGTCGATGTTATCAGATTGTTGACAATCACATCAAGTTGGTGTGAAAATAGGAAAACTTCGAATGCAAAGCCAGCAGCATCCACTATAAACAGACAAGAGAGTATCTTTTCCTATTGCAGTGGGTTGCTATATCCTTTAAAGTGTGGAAAGAATAACTCGTGAATGGTAGCAATGCAAATTAACTGAAGGTGAAGGTAAACATGCATGGAAGTTTCTAATATTTTAGGAACTAAGATGTTGGTCACTTCCAGCTGTAATCAATGTTTGTTGCATTTATAGTCCAATTGCAATGAATGGGACACAACTTAAACTTCATTGAATGCAACCCAGTGCTTGCAAGAGACTCTTCCTTTATTTGTCAATCTCCCTGTTCCTTCTTCAAAGCAGACCCATCTCTTATTGACTCCATTTGATGCTACTGCTTTCACACTGATTTCTTCCCTCATTCAGTGTTCTGTATCCATTGAAATGCCTCTGGCAGGATACATGCTGCCCTGTGTTCTGTGCAGAACACTTCCAAATGCAAGACTTGCTACCAGTCTAACAACATTGTGTAGCTCATCCTCCTTTCCTTCCTTAAAGAGTTTTTTCCTGGTTTGAAAAACAACAGCAGCATCTGGACCACAAATAAGTCCACAAATAAGGCTGGCTGATTGTGTCTGGAAGAACCTTCCTTGCCTAGCACAGAGTGCGTTCAATAAATATTGAAGGTGGTACCACTATAAGGGGGTCTGTCTCTTGGCAGTTTTCCTACAAGCTTAATCAATGTCTATGTTTACTGGAGAACCACTGTGATGAAAGGATGGAAAGCGGTGATCCATTTCCTCCTTCCCTTCCAACACATATACACTCAACCACTCCCCATGGTAGAGCAGGAAGTCACAGTCCTTACTTTCATCAAATAACCGCCTTGCCTCTAGGTTGGCAGCTGACGGTTAGATTAAGCACATCAGTGAAGGGTGGAGGATAAAAAGGCAAGAAGAGGCTTGGCCCAGGGTTGCCATTGCCATACAAGCACAGCCTTCTAGCCAGTCTTCAACTGGCTGCAACAGTGAATGGTGGCTCCAATATCAGAAGGGCACCAAGTCCACTCTGGGGCTCAGTCTGAACTTTAAAGGAGCTGTTCATTGTGCTAATCTATTTTGGGGCTAGGGTTCCCCAGCTTCTTAAAAGTCCAGACTTCAGCTTGGAGTGCATACAGCACCCCACTGCTACGGCAGCCACCAGCCTGAATTTGTACTGCTGTTAAGAGATGCTGCATGAATTCTGATCCTCTGAGGATCCAAAATGTAGCTATACACTATACCTCAGCACTCTATCTGTACACGTGTACTGCATAATTTATACGACCTTAACAAACAACCGCACTGACTATGCTGAAACCTACTTACTTTAATGGTTCCAAGATCCATGGGATATTTAATAACATCATGATAATCCTCGAGTCCCAAGGCTGTAACATCTACTGGTTTATAAAAGGGCCAAGCATATGCTATGTGCTCTTTGGAAAACAATTCTTGGAGGATCTCATTACAGTATTTTAAGGAGTCTGATAACTTTGTGTTTTTTATGAGTTGTGGTGGTTGCTGGTCTGCCAAGCCTCTGTTCAATAGGAACTCTTCTTCACATTCTTCTGTAGAGGAAATCTTGACGACTTTGGGATCATTGAGTGCTGGAGAGGATTCACTGCTTGCTGGGATGTTTTCAGTAGTGGTATCAGCCTTCCTTTTCACACCCTTTTCAATACAAGAAACAGATTTTAACAAAGCTGGGGACTGCAGCATTTTTTATGTGTTCCAGAAATCTTTGCGATAATGCAGCCACACATCTAAGTGTCACTCATATGTGGTTTCTGCTTTTTCTTTAAAAAATTCCTTTCAGATCCTACAGTCAGAGATCTTTCCTAAGAAGGTAAAAACTGCATTTTTCACTAAAGAGATTTATTTTGACTTTCTCAGAGTCACACAAAAAGAGAACAGGAGATCTGGAGAGCTTCAGTTTTCTTGGTGAGCATTTGGTGGACTTAATACAAGCATTAGAACAATATAATTTTTAATATTTATGTAGCAATCCTATGCTTACTTGGAAGTAAGAATTACTATACTCAGTGGGACTTTATTCTTAGTAGGTTTGCACTGACAATATTTTGGAAGTGGTGAAGGAGGCAGATTTCAAAAAAATCTGATTGTTGCAGGACTTGACATTTCCTTTCAGAAGACCATCCCAGGAAATTAATACTAGTTACTTAGTTGCTGCATGGAAGCTAATGAAATGATCCCAGCTCCCCAGAAAACAATGAACAGCTGGGAAGCTTGCTGTTCTCCAGTACTGAAATCAGTGCAATTATTAGCACAGTGTGGAATGTGCATTTTATTGATACAACAACATCAAGGCCATTTGTAGATTCCCAAAAAAACCACAGGATCATTTAAAAATAAGATGGTTGGATAAGTATGATGGACATCTATTAATCATGGTCAAGGCCTCCTCTCCCCATTATCTCTCATTCTGGAGTTATTTAAATTTGGGTAATTTGATAGCTTTGAGTAAAACAAGTACTCAACCATCTTCGGAGTCCAGGCTTGTAAGAATATAGCAGGTTGTGCTTACCTTGCTTAAAAGAACCAAGGGCCCGATCCTGTGCATGCCAAGACAGAAAAATGTCCAACACTCCTAAAATGGGAGTTACTGAGAGTTGTAGGACTTCTTTCTGCCTGAACAGGCATTGGATTACACCTAGAGGGAAAATCTGGGATTGTTACCTCATCCACCCACCACAGTCCAACAGGGTTGTTACTGTGAGGGTAAGATTGAGAAGAGGAGAATATAAATGTAAGCCACTTTTAGTTCCTTGAAAGGAAAAAAAGATGAGATATAAATCTGATAAATAACAATGCTTCTTAAGACAGTAGGGCTGAGAGAAGCCTCTCTTCCAAAGTCCTCAAAACCCAGACAGGTTTGTATAAAAGACAGTCTTTCAAGCAGACTGATTCAAAATCTGTTCATTTGTTGTTAGTAGATGCATGATTTAGGATTCTGCAAGTAGGACTTGCATCAAAATGTTGTAATTTGAAATGTTGTTGCTCAGAGTTTACCTCCATACCTGCTAACGCCCAAGTTTTCCAGTCTGTCTCCCTTCCCTAGCCACTGAGCTGCAATAGATGATTCCCTTCTTTGGTAGTTATCACAAGGATACTTTGTACAGTGGAACCTCAGCTCACAAATACCTCAGTTCACAACCAAATTGGGTCGCGAAGAGAAATTTCAGAAAAGTTTGGCTCAGTTCACAAACTCCACATTGGGTGACAACCATGATCGCGTCCATGTTGCTGCACGAAGATGATTGCAGACATCTTCCCTGCATGAGTGCGACCACAACTGCGCCCGTCTCCCCCCTCGAGCGCGAGCACGACTGCGATCATGCCCGTCTTCCCTGCACAAGCGCAACTGTGTTCCTGCCCGTCTTCCCTGCACGAGTGCAACCGCGATCACGCCCATCTCCCCCCCACCCCCCAGGATGATCGCTATCGCACAATCACGGTTTGGAGTCTCCCTCCAAACAATAACCTCCCCCTCTCACCTAGGTTACTGCACTGTACTTTGTTACTTCGTTGTTCTTTGTTACTTTGTTTCAATTTTTTGTGATTTAAAAAAATACATACAGAACGGATTAACCTTATTTACATTGAACCTTGTGAGGAAATTTGACTTGGCTCGTGACCAATTCAGGTCACGACCAGAGTTGTGGAATGGAGTAAGTTCGTGAGCCGAGGTACCACTGTACTTTTGCAGACATTGTGCTTTTTGCAAAGACAAGCCACCTTTTTGTGTGTTAATTAATCACATGTCAAAATGGCATCGTCTACAACAAAATTGTAGTTTAAAGCTGACTTGTTTCTACTCAATCTGAGATTAACTATGATTTTGGGGTTCTGATGACTCATTCAGCTGTACTTAATTCAGAAAAGAAGCTTTCAGTCTCCTCCTTGCAGCTTCTGGGGAAAGAAAGGTAGAGTGCCCAAGCCCAAAGCTTATTGCATCGCATCAGCCAGGTTATGGATGAACCAATTTATATTGCAGTCTGTGCAGTGGTATGCCAGTTATTGCTGAGACAAATGTTCATTTGTTTAGACATTCCCCATTCCACTTACTTTGGTTACTGTTTCAGTGGCTGGCATTATATTTGAGGACAGAATCACCGGTGAGGGTTCTGGGAGAAGCTGCTGTGGCATGGTCTTCATCATCTGAAACTGTTTAACTTTCCTAGCTGGCTTTGCCTGTTGGCTTTGCTTAACTGGTGGGATTCCCAGTTCAGATTCTTCAGCAACTAGGGAAATAAAGTGCAACTCGATCAGTAAAGAACTCTTAAACCATGTTCCAAAAATGGATGCTGCAGACCTTTTAAAAATCTTTGCCAGTGTGTCTTTTGTCATAGCCTGAAGACAGTCTTGTTTACAGTGGCACAGTACTTAAGACATCACTAGCAAATCATGATAGCCTACCACCTATTCAGTTTAAGATCTGGGTTTCCTACCCTTCAATAAGGGCACACATGGATACATGTAAAATACCTACAATGATGGCTGTGCTCTGTTGCTGAAGACATGTCTCCAGCTACTTCACTGCTTATCTGTTTACTTTGCAATAGCTTACCTTTCATTGACTACCTAAGCATGGTACGTAAATGGACCCCAATGGTTGTCATTTGTTAAAACAGAGATGGTTTAAACTCACAGTGGATCTAATTATATTTATTAGCGATTCAAACATGCAGCTTTATTATCCAAGCAATGATGGAAAGAAACATCATTGGATCCCATACAGTGATGGAGTCCAATGTGTTCTGTATGTATGCATGTTGCATGACAATAAATCTAAGCAGGCAGTGGAGGTAACTGCTAGAGGTATGCAGATGGGACTTAAAGAATTTGAGTGCTTGGGTGAGCAGGTGAGCAAAGCTTTACACAGGCACATTCAAAAACACCTCCCTCTAAAAAGAGAAAACAGGTGTTTTTTTTTTCAAGAAAGCTATCAAAAAGTCAGATCATATCCTTATTAAAACCAATAGTTGGAGCACATAGTTTAGCTTTCATATGAAATCAAGGAGAAACGAGCAGAATCTGCAACAAACATGTTTCTGGTAGAGAACTCCAGGGTAGCAGCCAACAATCCATGCCCTCACCCATGCAGCATCTCATCATTCCATGAGCAGTACTTTCAGCTTCATTGGGCTGTTTTGGGAGGTGGGTTGGCCCTTTAGGGTTCTCTTTCTAAAGACTGTTTATTGTTGCAAACCTTGGTGTTCCTCCAAGCTTACTCGTATTGCTTCCCTTTTGAGTGCAGAAGGTGTTCTCTTGGCTGCATGAGGATCAGCACTGAAAGGTTTTCATTAAATCAATTCTGAATGGAGGACATACACAGCCTCACTTTTCATGTAGCTTCAGTTATCCCTCTCCACCAAATTATCTAAGTAAACCACCATCAGGAACTATATTGCTAGAAAACCAATATGCAAATCTCATGAGAACTTCTGTAGGCCATGAGAGAATTCAACATTAAAGGTACATCTGCATTTATGTGTAAAAGAATACATTTTGGGATTTTTTTTTTTGCCATACAGTAAACTTTGATTACTTGGGGCATCATTGTTTCCCAAGAATAGACCAAAGATAAAGCCAATTTCAGTATTGTAAGAAAGACTTAATGTCTTGTCAGCTAGAACTAGACTGGGCTTTTGCATAGTTAATTTACGTACGTCTCAGATATACAACTTTCTAGTTTACTACTTGGTTTTACAATCAGAGAATCAGAGTTGGAAGGGACCTTAGAGATCATCTAGTCCAACCCCTTGCTATTACTGCAGAACGTCACTGCAGCTTCCCTAATGGCCATCCATAAAATGGCCTAGAGTTTTCAATTTAGAAAGTACATTCTTTTTTCTGCAGCAGTTCCACAAAAACTGAAAAGCTGTTAGTAAATATTCAACAACCTCTATATGCCCCTTGTTCTAGTCATTTGCAATGGATGAGGCTCCTCTCCAACATGAAATATTTTACTACAAGGTTTCGACAAATACTAAAATTGTCATTCAATTTGTGTCTTACCATCTGCCTTTTTCGCTTTCCTTTTCCCTTTATTGATCACTACCATTTTCTCCTCTGCAGGCATCTGGGCAACTTTCTGCAGAAAAACTTTTTCTAGCTCCTGGGCCATGAAAACAATGTCATCACCTGGCTGCAATATAAACACCATAGTTAACTACAGCATCACCTGGAATCCTGGTAAACTTTTCTCCAGCCTGGCACTCTCAAGGTGTGTCAGACTATGATGGTACTTGGGAGGAAGGGCAGGGGCTTCCCATTAAATGTTTGATCCCAGAAGCCATGAGTTGTAAGAGATTCCAAAAAGCTCATTCAGATCAACTCCAAATCTGTAACAGTGCAATTGCACCACTGAAAGGGGAGGTAGGCAAGTTGAGATAGGATACTGAAGTAATCTAGTTTCTGCCAGAAGCAGTCAGCAGGCAAAATGAACACAGCATGCATGTGTAAAGGCAGGAAATCTTGAGTTAATTAACCCACAATTTGCCTTTGTGCATGCCGGACACATTCCATGGGCATTCTGAAAATTTAACCTCTAATCAGAGGTTGCTGCGGGATGCCTGAATTCAGACACTATAGGTTAATCATGAGTAAGCAACCCGCAGTTAACCTACTATTAGGTTAATCACCAGTTGTTTAGTACTGTTGTCTAAATCAAAAATGTTGACCCTCTTTCAGCACACGGGCTTAATTCAGTTTTGGAAAAGCTCTCCAGAATGAAAATAGCAGCATATTTCAACTTGAAGACCATACTGCCAATAACTGAGCAGAGATGAGGTATTTTGACATTTTAGTATGGGGAGAAATATGTAAAAACCATAAAACCACTAAATGATTGGTGGTAGGGGAGAATGGGTGTGGTTATTTGGAGAAACTTGGAAGACCAGTTTGGGATCTCAGGTGGACTTGGTTTATAGGCCTGTCATTTTACCCCTTTAAGTTTAGATTAGCAGACACACAGGTGCAACAATTAAAAATCACTATCACTATAAAAGATGATACAATAGTGAAGGAGGTGATGAAGAACAATAGCCAGGAAATGGGAGAGCTGCTCTTTGATGAGGTTGAAAAGACATGGTGAAATTCACATTCTCCATTCCATCATAACTGCAGTGGGTGTTAAAGAATCCAAAGTAGCCCCAAAAGAAAAGTGTAGGTAAATTTGAAATGATGCATATTTCAGTATTCATTTTACATACCTTGTTATACAAATAGCAATTTGCAAACATCGTTTTAAAGTTTTCAATACATTCTGCAGCACATGTGTAATAGTTGTGTTCCAGACGTTTCTGAATTGTAGTCAGGTCCATTGGTTTTTTAATAATATTATAATAATCCTTAAAAATGGAAAGAAGGAGAGAATCCAACTATAAGAATACATTGGATTTAAAGGGTAAAATTCAGTAAAATGTCTTAGAGTAGACCCATTGAATAAAAGGCACTCAAGTTAATCACAATGGATTCAAGTTCCTTTTATTTAAATTAGTCCACTCTGAGTAGGACATTTGTTGGATTTACTCACAGAATGCTTGGTTTGCTAGCCTAGGACATAAATAACCTACCTTGTATTTTGCATTTGTTGGGGGAGTAGAAATTGAATTTTCCTGTTAAAAAGAACATGGCAGTGAATGACATCACAAATCAGTAAAGTAGCCAAGACTTTACAGAAATCTGCTTAATGTGTACTCATAGTTAATGTATGCTGGAGAATGCAGCAGCTAGAACTGCAACTAGTCCTACATCTAATGAGATTACAGCTGAGGTGACAGCTGAACCAGGAGTCACCTGACATATTTTTGGCCACCATGTTAGCTAGAGCTCAAGGAGAGAGTAATGGGCAACTGTAAGAGCATTGTGCTTTCTTGACTTCCAAAACAAGGGCAGTATTCAAACCTTGTTGTAATAAATCTTTGTTTATTGTGATGGGAATGAGCTAAAGTCTCCTGAAAGTTTTCTGTGCTCCTTTTCCCTAGTATAGCCAGAAAGCAGAGTTCAGAAGCTTTTGCTTTGGATTACAATTAGCCAAAGTTTAACGTTCCACTTGAACCCTAAACTGTAGATAATAAAAATATGCAACACAATTAAAATAAACCATACTTTGTTAAGTTCAGTTGTTATAACAATGTGCAGTGAATCTAAGATGGAAGCAAAAACTTTAGGACTCAACCCAGCTGCATGAAGGGGAAGGCAGGAAGGGTGTGACGGGTGCATTCCATTAATAAAGCAAGCATTGTTATTCCTTGAATGGCATTTGGAATTTATAAGGAATGTCACTTCTCAAAGTGTAAGGAGCACTGTAGCTGTGATTCACTGCTCTTCAGGTCAACCCATTTAAGAGGCATTTACCGTGGCACACCTAATTTTAGCTTCTGTACATCTTTTTCTATGATTATATTTTTGCCTATGTGATCAGTTCAGAATACAACCCAGGGAGGTGTGTGAAAGAAGCATCTTTCTCTCAGGGTTCTTGGCCTTCACATAGCCCTCAAAGACACACCCACACAAATGTTGGCCATAGTCGACAAGCCAAGGTCGATAGTAAAATCTCTTCATATGTACACAAAATACTTTTTAAGAGTCCGCCTTAGAAATATGAAGAGGCAGAACTGACCCAAGGCTAGCTTCTGTTTTTGCAAGTACATTGAATGAATGACCTCTATTATTAACCCCAAGTGACAGTTTATCTTGAGATCCAACATCAGAAATGCAAGGTGACAGTCACTTTGAAAGCACTTTTGGACAAACTGACTATATGAGTTTGTCAAGAAAAATAGAAACATGTCTGAGGGGGTTAGCCTTTGCTGAAAAGGCCAAAGCCCCAGAATGGTTTTTGAGGAGAAAGGCCCACAGACTAAGTGTATAAATTGTAGCTTTAGCTAAGGAAGTGACAGAAGGGAATGGCTTGAATACTGATAGGCACCAACATCATCAGGCATGATTCAGTAGCAACCTTTTAAGTAAGTTGGTAGAGCAGTCAAGTAAAGCTTTAATTTATTAGCTGAAAGAAACCTTGTTAATTAGCAGAGCAAATTTTTCTTTGATATGGGTGAAAGTTAGGCATTCCCTTATTTCTTTTCCTTTGTGTTAGTTTGTTTTGGGTCAATCACTGCACTTTTAATTTGGTAAATTAATATAAAAGGCCAAAGAGTGACAAACTGTTGATTGATGGATAGCATCAGTGACCAGCTATAGCCAAGTTTAATGGAATCACATAAACTATTGCTATGACTATAATACCAATTATGGGGTAGCAAAGAGAGGTTTTTTTCCTCCCTTATGAATAAGTTCTTAAAGAAACATTTTAGTACAGCAGCACATGAAAAAGAATGTTCATATACGGCGTGAATACCACCCAGCTGTAGTATTTCTGTAGCTTCACATCTTTGAGCATCTTCTATACCTTGTGTTGACAGCCATAGGACAATCTGATTCAATACACTGCTTCAGATTCTATAGCCATATGGTTCTCCTTTAACATGGCAATTTTCAGCCAATTTGTATTAATCATGTTGGCAGTGGTATCTCTTCCATTTAGTGTATCATATGTAGCACTTTCCATATTTTATTGCAATGTGATATATATGACTTAATATATGATGCAGTGAAGTGTTACTTTTCTTTTGTTGCAGATTAAATATTGCAGTATATACAGATGCATGTTTGTGATTGTTTATATAAGAGTTGTATGCCTGGGAGCATCGTACTGTCAGTGAGTGTTCCAGATGTTGGTTTTAGCAGTACCATTATAATGATGACAACACAGACCATCTATATAGATCCATAGGTCCACTATGCTCTTCAGGGGAGGCCTTATTGGCCGTGTTACCTCCTGTAAAATCCCATCTGACAGTAACACAACCATGGGTCTTCTCCGTGTGTTGAGGGGGATACCCACTCTTTAAAAGGCTGCCTTGTCTGCAGCTGATCAAGCACCAACAATCATGCACTTACTATTAAAAAGTTACTTGTTAGTATCTGGGAAAAGGCAAGGCAAACCTGTCTAAATTTTGTTGCCCTTGTACAGTGATGAATTGTTTTAATAATTTGTTATAAACCATTGTAGAATTTATAAAATGGGAAGCAGCATATAAAAACAGTTAAATAAATCAATAACTATATTCAACAACAGTGTGCTCACATTTGTAAAGCATATGAAACTTAACTATAGACGAAGCCAATATGCATACTGTACCACCAGAATGTCTTACTTAAAGATAAACTTTGCATTAAGACACACATATTTTCTTAACTATTGTTAAAGTTTTCTGTTCAAGAAATACATGGTAAACTCTTACTGGAAGGTTTAGACCTGCAGCATCTACAGGCTGATGAAATGGCCAGGAGAAGTTATGCTTCCACATTGCTTTTATGACAACTCTTTGCAAATATTGAAGCTGGTTTGTTAACCGTCCAGTTCCTTGGGTATTGATGTATTTTGGAGGGGGAGGATTGACAATTGTCATATTCTGTTCACTTGGAGTGGTCATCTTTCTCCCTGATGTGTTTCTGTTGCCTTTTTGGTCAATGTCTTCGTTAGTATATCTGCAAAGAAAAAAAATGCAAGAAAGCTATTGATTCATTGTTTAGCTTTCATTCCAGATGGACAACAGGCTTCTCTACACAATTACTTTATGCTCATTATTCTTCACTCATGGTCACTTGCATATGCTGTAAACTCTGTCATCTTCCTGGGCTTTGCTTTGTTTTCTCAGAATTTCAGTAGCTTTTGTTTAGATCAAGGAAAGTGTAGTATTATCTGAAAATGGTGGAGAGAACCCGAATTTAAAACTCATGATTTTCTGCAGTTCTGCTATACCACCGCATTCCTTGATGCTGTGTAATGGAACATAGAGAGAGAAAAGTGGGGAATGGGAAAAAAGAGGTGTAAAAAAGTGGATCTCACTCCTGAAAGAATCCAGAAGCAGAATCCTTGGCAAAGTAGTGGGTTAAAAGCCTCAAGTGAAGCAGCTCAATTTTTTCCTTATTTTTTAAGAAACTGAAAAGTAGTTAAATGAGACCATCACTTACCATGCTACACAACACACGTTTCTTGTTTTGACCCGTGATTATCTCTGGTCAAACAACCGGTTTAAAAAAAATGTATTCAACATGATTCAGTAAAAAACTAGGATACAGTAAATCCTTTTATATGAATGATGAAAAAAGTAATTTCCTAGTTTTAAGCAGCCAGAAACATAGACCAAAGAACATCCATATTACCACTCTAAATGCAAGTGCAAAATCATAATTAAAGTTATGTTAATGGGAAAAGAATCCCTGCAAAGTGAGATATTATGGGATATCCAAGAATATCAGCATATAAGGGTTGCAACAACAGCCTCTGGAAGGTTTACCTACTGAACAGGAAGTTCTTTTTACTGCATATAAATTATGTTTGCTTAAAAGCCTTTCATGTTATATCTGGAGTTAATTTTAAGGGTGACAGGCAGTTTATGCACAATCCTTCACCATTTGGAGTAGCAGATTCTTCACTATTCTCTTAAGTCTTTCAACCGTCTTCCTAACTGCCATAGAATCTTCTATTCCAGACTAGCTTACCAAGCCTAGTTAAGAGCTCCATGAATCTATTTTTCTCAGAGACATCTCTCTGCCACCCATCATAGCTTACTCATACCATTAGCTTCACAAGAGACACTGCATCTTAATCATCCCTTGAAAATTGTGCCCCTTTGCTTGCACACATGGAAAAAAAAGTGATGGCAAAGAGCTCCAAAAGGATCTTGCCAACTGGGAAATGGGATTAATGAGCTTCAGTGGCAAATATGCTCCAGTATAAACAAATGTAAAGTAATGCACAGCAGGGCAAAACAAATCCGAAGCTCACAGGTACAGTTTGGATTTCATGATTCCTCATGTGTGGTTTAAACCATGGGTAGTTGTGACCATGCAGAAGGAAACAACTGTGCAGGATCCTACCCACTCTTCTGCTTCCACTTTGCTAAATTATCCAGGCTGTTTCTGTGATGTATGATCGTAAAAATCCAGTTTTTTGAAAAACAACCCAGGGTTTTATCCTATGGCTGGTTTCTTGACTTAAATTCGGAGTATTTCTTTCCTCAACAAAGTTCCTGATTCATGCACTGCATTCCGTGGTTGTTTAGCAATGCTGAAGCTCAAAAATAAGCAATAACCAACACATTCATTCAGTCTTGCAATCTCATGAAGTTAACAGACCATGGGTTGTTTTGATCCTCTGAACTCAAGTCATACATAGACAAAGTCTGAGATGGCAGTGACTGACCTGGAAAAGGATCTTGAAATCATGGTGAAGCAGTTCAAAGAAAACATTGAGTACCTGCTGTATAAAGGACAAATTCCATGTTGTGGATCATTAGAATGGAATTGAGAGGAGCCAAGATGCCGAATAGGCAGCAGCTGCTGTAAAGAGAGCCTCTGGAAAAGTATTCTCTTATCATTTGTATTTTTAATTTATAGTTTTAAATACCTTTCCTGTTCTGTCTTATCGGAAGCCTTAATATTTAGAAAGAGCTGAGAAAACTCCAGGAAATCATAAACCAGCATGGGAAAATGAAAGAAGAGATACCACACACATTCCACAATACGTACAGTACAGTTCAAAGCCCACAAAGCAGCTGAAAGTTGACATTTACTTAGTTAGGAACCAGCCAACTTTTGTAAATATTCTTACTCCCTCAAACTCTTCCATTGGAAATGATGATTTAGACTGGAACTTACAAGCAGAGATTGAGAGTCAACAGTTTATAGATCCCTCCTCTTCACTGGAAGAGAACTCTCTCTCCTCCGAACACATGGCTGCAATTTGTTCTGTAGCCGTACAGTTAACACAGGATGAGAGTTTAGTAAATACCAACCTGACAAACTTCAACAAAAATATAATTGAATTTCTAACCAGACGAAGTCTGCTGACAGTACAAACTGTTCTATTTTTGACTTGTTATCCACAGTTAAAACCAAAGTGGATTCTTTAAAAGGTCTTTATAAAGCATATTGAAAATGAACCAAATGACAGCCCTGCAAAAGTATTAATCTCTTGTACTAAGTGTACCACAAAAGCAGATAGCATGGACAATTCCACTTCTTCATCAAGGAAAAGAGAGAGCAACAGGCAGAGAGAGCTGATAATTCCTGCAGGAAAGGGTGAAAAACAACCCTCTAGTGGACATGCAATCAAGGGAAAGAGACTCCTAAACCACAAACTGTTCATAGCCCAAACAATTCACCTTACAAATATTAAATAGTAGAACAAACAGAGGACGATAGAGAACAAGAAGCACAATTATTCTATCTTTAAGCCAGCTACTGTGCTGTGAAAGCAGCCGATTAATTTGCAGCAGGCTGAGTGGCTGGGAACAAATTTTACTTACATTTAGGTAACCCACTCCCAGTATGTTGTTTAAAATGAGGCCCTTTCTGCACACTTTTTCAATTTATCTCAGGAGTGTGTTCAGCTCAGAGGAGCTCCAGCCACTTCTGGAGTCCCAGCTTAAGAGTACCATCGCTTTAAGGAATAACCATCCCACTCTAGATTACCTCAAGGGCACTTTATCAGTTCTGCCCCGAGAGATGACTGTTCAAGCAAAAAGCCCAAACAACTTACAGCAAGATAGTGTACAGATGACCTTCTGGAGAAAAATCTGATTGACTCTTTTAGTTCTCTGCCAGATTCAGAGCAAGCTGATATTATTAAAAGACTGGATGAACTGAGAGAAACCCCGATGACAACTTGTAAAATAGTTAAACCATTAATTGAACTGGTCCTTCCAACTAACTACTCAAGCTAGTTGTCATCATTCTGAGAAAAGATCTGTTGGTAATGCAGCCCCCTCCTCAGATTTATGCAATCCAGAAATGCAGATCAGCAACAAAGGGTCCAACTGGAGCAGAGCCAAATTCCTCCACCCTGCTCCTTGCTGAAAAAGAACAACATCCAGAAACTTTGAAGACCAAAAAGCAGAATGTTGCTGCTAGACAAGAGAAAGGTCTCAACTGCCTAAAACCCAGGGAACCGCAACTTGAATCAGGTGATAGGTTGCACCAGAAATATGAGATAGAATCATAGACTAGTAGAGTTGGAAGGGGCCATGAAGGCCATTGGGTCGAACTCCCTGCTGCTGCAGGACACCAAGTTACACCATCCCACTCAGATGGCTATCCAGTTTCTTTTTGAATGTCTCTAGTGTAGGAGAGCCCACCACCTCTCTAGGCAGCTGGGTCCCCTACTGAATTGCTCTGACAGGGAGGAAGCTGTTCCTGATGTCCAGTCAGAACCTGGGTTGTTGCAACTTGAATTGATTATTCCGTGTCCTACACTCTGTCATCAGCAAGAAGAGATCTTGACCTTGCTCTTTGTGACAGCCTTGGAGGTACTTATAGAAAGATATCGTGGCCGCCTTCAGTCTTCTCAAGGCTGGATAATTGTTGCTCAACACATCCAATAACTGATGCAAACCTTCACCCCAGGAAACAAATGGAATTAGGATAACGGCAGCCTCTGAGGCTGGAAGAACTTTCCAGGGGTGGAACTAATTCCTTCAGTTCCTCCAACAAATAATATCAACATGAAACAATCTGCTCATGTTCACCTGTTAAGTGCAAACCATCATGAAAGCTAACCAATCTCATACAGCAGAGCAAGATTGGCAAAGAAAGGCCAAGCTATAATCAGTATGTCTTCCTAGATACTGAAGGAACCTTGAATCTCATTTCAGCCTCAAAGTTTGAGCCATAGGCCTCATCCACAGACCTCAATATATTGCCAGTCACCTCCCCCAAATAATAAACAAGGAAGTTCTACACCAGAATTGTTATCCTTGCTCTCTTGGAACATTGCTGGATGGGAAGCCAGACACAGAGACCCCGCCTTTATAAGTTACATCTCGCAATTCAACATCCTTATGTTCCAAGAGACATGGTCAGTAAACAATAAACAATCTCTTTATTCAAGTGTGTAAGTCACTATCTCTCTCAGCAGTTCCTGGAATTGGACAAGGGAGACATCATGCTGGGTTGAGTATCTATATTTCAACCACTTTAAGAATTGAGACTATTCCAATAGACCCTTTTGAGAAAGGTTGGAGAACCTTGCACAAACTGTTATCTTCAACTTCTCTGTAAAGAAATTGCTTCTTTTTAATTTCTATATTCCCCCCAACATCCCTCAGTCAAATATTATGGAAATCTGGGGAAAAGTGGAAAACTACATCAGTGCCATCCAGTTATGCTTTCCCACTGCCCATAGTCATTGCAGGAAACTTCAGTGCCAGATTAGGTCCAAATGATAATCATTTGCCAAATTTTCTAAAACTCCTCCCAATTTACAGGTAGTCCCACCTTTCCTAATTAGAGAATCCAAAGACTGCATTGGAGACTTCAGGGGCTTACAAATGCTGCAGACATTCTATAAACTGGATCTGCACATTTTGAATGATGCTACAATTAGAGTCCACCTGACGGAGTTCTCGTATTGGGCAGGTACAAGGCCTTC